CCCCCCCCCCCCACTATCAACTGCATTATAGTATAAATGCTCTACTCACTCTCCTATGGCTTTATTATGGGTGATTGAATCCAAGGATGGCCAACTTTTTTACCCAGGCTAACATATTTTGCATTTCTTTTATTTCAGCTGCCAAAAATGACAGGGAAAGTGATGCTGCTTATTCCAGTTCTATCTCAAAATGGATCTCTGAAATAAATTTAATCTTTCCATTTAGAAGGTTACAACATGGAATTGTTGGGCTGCTATATGCTGCAGGAAGGCCTTGGATGGAAACAATGTAGATTACATATCTGATTTCAGTGTGACCATATATTTTTCCATTTTAAATTCAGACCTAAAGGCAAAAAGTTTCCTTCAAACTATCTTTCAAAACACACATCAAAACTATTGTCACATGTACACGTGGAAATATTTTAAGATAATGATGATAAGAAGAACTAGTACCAATCTCTGCCTATAGAACATTATGTAAACAGCAGCTATTTTACTGATTAAATAGGTCTACATGAGATAAGGTTTTACATGCTTTTGAGAAGAATCTTGGTATGAACTATTATGATCCATTGATAAGGACTCATATCTGACTTTGTGGAATATGTTCATGGGGAAAAAAGGCCTCAATGGGGTATAAAAGAAAGGAACCTAGCATAGCAATCTTTACCTAGTGTTCCAAGTCCTTGCAGGAGCTAAAAAATCCAATTTAGCAACTGCCTTTGGGAAGAGAGGACCATGAAGTGGCTAATCCTTGCACTAGTATGCCTTCACCTCAGTCAGGCTATGATCAAGTGAGTATAATTGTTTTCTTTCTTAAATGATTTTTAAGACTGTCTGTCTGTCTGTCTGTCTGTCTGTCTGTCTGTCTGTCTGTCTCTAATTGCTACCATGAGATATGGTGCTGTCTGTCTGCTTACCTAGCTCTAAAAAAGGAAGTCATGGGGACAGTGGACATTAGACTTGATGGCAGTATACCTGTCTTTGAAGACCATCTGGTGGGAAACTCATGGACCTCCTTGTGCAGTTGGTTGACCATTGCTGGACTAAATGAGTCAAGGGTTTGATCCAGCAGTTCTTGTTATGTTTATGCTCTTAAGCTCATTCCATTTCTGTATTAGACTGATGTCCTTTTCCTAAAACATTCAGAAACTTTAATGCCTTTTGGCCATAGTTTCTGGAACAAAGTATGCCTTTGCACTTTGTATGCCTTTGGGTATGCTATCTTAGTCTACAGTACTTTTATCTTATTTTTTTCATTGCATTTTTGCTGAAGAACTGCATCTCCAAATTTAGAAGGGTCTATGCTGAAGAATAACTGGATTTACTTTATGTTTTGGCTCAAAAGTAGACAATTAGGTAGAATTTTCTTAGGGATTTAGGATTACAGCTAAAGATGTATATACTAGGATACGTCGCTACAACTACTAGGAGACCCTCAGATGCATAATTATAATTAGGAGTAACAACCATTCTGTGTAGCTTTTATGATAAATAACATCTCTATTTCCTATGTGGATATTTTTTAGGATGATATAATACATTTTTTGTCTTGCACTGGCCAGATAATTCATCCCATTCTATCTTCTTTCTCCAAAAATAGTGAATCAGATTCTGGAATTATGCTAAGTACAGACTTAGCTTCCATAACTTGATAGAATAGACAACATTAGAACTCTTGTTATTATTCAAATTTGTAATGCTGTTGTAGTATAGTAGAGTTGAAAGGGGGACATTGGAGTTCCTCAGTCCGATTTCCTGCTCAATGAAGAAAAAATTTAACCCCTGACAGAATCAAACAGAAGTTAGCATAATTAATTAAATGATACTGAGTTCAATCTAGGTAAGCTCTTAGACCACCTACAAGATCTCAATGAAAAAAACTCAATATGGGAAGTATCTAGAGCTGCCATTTTGATTCTCTGTTTAACTGCCTACCTCACACAGAGTATCCTTAAAACGATTCAAGTCTATGCGGGAAGAGATGATGGAAAAAGGGGTCAGTGGACCACTCCTACACAAGTATTATGATCCAGCCAGCAAATACATCAACCAGTTTGCCGTTGCTGATGAGCCTCTTGCTAACTACATGGATGTGAGTATCTGGTTAGTTAAAGGAAAACTATCACAATTATGGTCAAGATGAAAACTAGACAGGAAGAGTTTACATTATTTGAGAAAATCATAGGCCTGGTTTCAATTGCAATTGTGGTATAATTTGGAAATCTGGGTAACTAACATCAAATACAGTTACATGTACCCAATTAACAATGAAGCAGGTATGAAAACCTAATTAAATTATAAGTGTACTGATGTGGCTATATAGTACCTACTTTTTTTTAAAAAAAAAAAACCTATTATGAATCAGTTGGAATTATAAAGCCATGCCCCTAAAATTTTTATATTTATATTTTTGACATTTCTAAAATATATTGAAGAATATGTGTACAGAATGTTCTGTTGGATGTGTTATGATTACATATCCTTACATTATGATTACATATCCTTACATTATCAACATTCAAGTGTGGAAGTCCTGAATAATGATCATATTTTCCTTTTTCTAGATGTCCTATTATGGAGAGATCAGTATTGGAACTCCACCCCAGAACTTCATGGTTCTCTTTGACACTGGGTCATCCAATCTCTGGGTGCCATCCATCTATTGCCAGAGTCAGACTTGCAGTGAGTATTCTTGCTCATTCATTTAAGAATAAAAAATACACAATTTGTGGAAATGCTTTTTTTGTCCTTCACACCCATTATGATGTTATTTAAATCTGGTTTTGTTGTTGATTCAAAAGTAAAACCTTGTCTCCCCCGCTCTCATTTCTATCACCAGGCAACCATGCATTATTTAATCCCAGTCAGTCTTCTACTTATTCCAGCAACGGACAAACTTTTAGTATACAGTATGGAAGTGGTAGTCTCAGTGGGGTCTTTGGCTATGATACTGTAACGGTAAGTAGTAGTTCTCTCCAAGTGGAAAGTATTCGCTTGATTTGATACTCTTAGCACAAGACAATATTATTGTTATTATACAATGGGCAGTATTGGTTTGGTCAGTGGCTGAAATCAAAATTATTATAATGATAGATGGTATGAAATCAAAATGAAATCAAAATTATTATAATGATAGTTGGTAATGAATCTTGAAAACATTAAAGCCTGCAAATACTTAAATCTCATACATGTAGAAAGAGATTGGGGTATTTCCACTGGTTTTACTTTCTGCTGAAGTATCATGGGGTTTAGCTATTGTCCTCATATTGTTGCCTAGAATTTTGATGGATGAAGACGGGAGAGCTGCTACGGTAGCTGGTTGATGTGGATGGCACAAGGGGAACATCTAAAGCACCTCCCAATCCTTTCTGAAGATCAGTGGATCAGCCTGGGCAACACAATACCTTCACTGTTGGGGAGGGGAAAGTACTAGGAGCTGGTGGTGATACAGAGTAGGAATTCAACCAGTGTTAGCCCCCTGCTCTGAGATCCCCAAATAACCTGCCTTTTGTCTTTTCCACGTCCAAGTATCCATTTTGGTGTTCTTACTCCAGCCCTACTCCTTGCAGATACTCTTCTCATGACATTAGCTCTTCCAGTTGATTGCGTAATTATGTGTTGAACATTTGAGAATATAAGAAAGCCTGAATGAGGGTTCTCTTGTTGAATCTATCTGTTTATATCAAAAAAGCATAACATCTTGAAATATTTTAATATATTTCATGATGAACTGACCATGATGTTAGACAGGTTTCCCATCCTCTAATACTCTGTACAGTGAATTGTTTCTATATTACAACAAAATACCGGTAGATTAGCTATCCATAATTTCTGTTAGGCTATTATGACATATACTTTTCTTATCTTATGACTCGTCCCATTTCTTTGTAGATCCAAGGCATTCCTATTACCAATCAAGAATTTGGTCTAAGTGAAACTGAGCCTGGCACTGCCTTTCTCTATTCACAATTTGATGGCATCCTGGGTTTGGCCTATCCTTCCCTTTCTGCTGGTGGTGCCACCACTGTAATGCAGGGAATGATCCAGGAGAATTTGATTGATGCTCCTGTTTTCAGTTTTTACCTGAGTCAGTAAGTATGAAGTCCTTTCTTTCTTTCTTTCTTTC